AGATTAACCTTCAGGGTGGATATAGCTCGCTAGCAGCCTCGCACCGAGGACCTATCCACGTCATCATTTACCCAGAATGCTTTGCGATTAAATAAAATGGCCTCGTCTGTGTAATATATTTTTAAACTTTTAGTTTAAAAATGATAAAAACTGAACATCCTACAGTATTTTTATAGGCTTTACTTTACAGTTAAAATAAATGTTTATCAAATAAAGTATAATGTTACAACTAATCGGGGATCCCTTTAAAGAAAAAAATAGACTTTAAATTGATAAGAGATTTTCCTAATTATCAGTTTAAACTGTGAGAATGTTTTTTTTGTGCTGCAAAAGTCTGAACGATGGTGTTTACAGGAACATTAGCTGCTGTCTGGTGGGTTTGAGTTTCACATGTTCAGCAGGCTGAAAGAGATCAGGTTCATGTGAACCAGGAAGTGAGGATCAATAAGCATGCAGGATCTACGTGTGCGCGGTGTTGGGTCTTACACAGCAGCAGGTGCTGGCTGCTCAAACACCTCCTTGGAGAGCTTGAGCACCGGCTTCTTCTTACCTGCAGACAAACACAAACAGAACTCAGTAAAACAGGTGAGATAAAACCGTTTCAATCGAGGAGGCGGGGCTTATTTTAAGACGCCTGAACAGGATATCAGATCAGCCTCTGTCCGGCTGCTACCTGTAAAAAAAAACCTAAAGTTTCTCTGGCAAACATCCTGAGAAAGCTCTCATTTTTTAGAGACAAAACACAAAAAATGTTCAATATTTTAGCAATAAAACCTCTGGAGTCTTTGCTTCCAGCAGCAACAGGTTTGGATTTAAAGATGTTTTTGCTCATTTGGTGTAAAGCGGATCATTAAAGTACTTTTATTACTGTTTTGAAGTTTCTGTTTTGATTTTCAAGCCCCCGATTCTCCCTCATTTTTAAAAAGTCCCCTCCAAAAAATGCACGTTGAGTTAACTCAAAACCAGAGCTGTCAAACCTTCTCACATTCATTACTCAAGCAGAAGTTAATGCTCGGGTTTAAAAAGACTTCTGCAGAAGTTTAAGGATAAACTCAAGCTTTTTACTCAAGTAAAAGTATAAAAGTACTGGTTTTAAAACTAGGGCTGCACAATACAGCGGGTAAAATAAGTATTGAACACATCACCATTTTTCTCAGTAAATATATTACTAGAGGTGCTAATGACATGAAATTTTCACCAGATGTTGGTAACAACCCAAGTGATCCATACATACAAAGAAATCAAACCATAAATGTCCAGAAATGAAGTTATAATGTGGAATGGCACAGGGAAAAAGTATTGAACACACTTACTGAAATTTATCTAATACTTTGTACAAAAGCCTTTGTTGTCAATGACAGCTTCAAGACGCCTCCTGTATGGAGAAACTAGTGGCATGCATTGCTCAGGTGTGATTTTGGCCCATTCTTCCACACAAACAGTCTTCAAATCTTGAAGGTTTCGTGGACCTCTTCTATGAACTCTGATCTTTAGTTCTTTCCATAGATTTTCTGTTGGATTCAGGTCAGGTGATTGGCTGGGCCATTCCAGCAGCTTTAGTTTCTTTCTCTGAAACCAACTGAGAGTTTCCTTGGCTTTGTGTTTGGGCTCATTGTCTTGCTGAAATGTCCAGCCACGTTTCATCTTCATCATCCTGGTAGATGGAAGCAGATTTTTATCAAGAATGTCTCTGTACATTTTTCCACTCATCCTTCCTTCAATTATTTGAAGTTTGCCAGTACCATATGCTGAAAAACAGCCCCACACCATGATGTTCCCACCTCCAAACTTCACTGTTGGTATGGTGTTTTTGGGCTGATGTGCTGTGCCATTTGACCTCCAAACATGATGTGTATTCTGRCATCCAAACAGTTCAATGTTGGTCTCATCTGACCAGACTATATTCTCCCAGTATTACACAGGCTTGTCTAAATGTTGTGCAGCAAACTTTAAAGGAGCTTCAACATGCTGTTTCTTCAGCAGTGGAGTCTTGCGTGGTGAGCGTGCATACAGGCCATGGTGGTTCAGTGCATTACTTATTGTTTTCTTTGAAACAATCGTACCTACTAATTCCAGGTCTTTCTGAAGCTCTCCACAAGTGGTCCTTGGCTCTTGGACAACTCTTCTGATAATTCTTTTCACTCCTCTGTCAGAAATCTTGTGAGGAGCACCTGGTCGTGGTCGGTTTATGGTGAAATAATGTTCTTTCCACTTCTGAATTATGGCCCCAACAGTGCTCACTGGAACCTTCAGAAGTTTAGACATTCTTCTGTAACCGATGCCATCATTATGCTTTGCAACAATAAGGTTGTGAAGGTCTTGAGAGAGCTCTTTACTTTTACCCATCATCAGATGGTTCTTGTGTGATACCTGGCCATCATTTGGGACTGAACCAGCTGATATTAACTTGCACTGACAAGGGGCAGGCATGCTTTCTAATTACTGAGAGAGTTCAGCTGGTGTCTTGKCTTTCCATGCCTTTTTACACCTCCCTTTCTTCATGTGTTCAATACTTTTTCCCTGTGCCATTCCACATTATTACAAATAACTTCATTTCTGGACATTTATGGTTTGATTTCTTTGTATGTATGGATCACTTGGGTTGTTACCGAAATCTGGTGAAAATTTCATGTCATTAGCGCCTCTAGTAATATATTTACTGAGAAAAATGGTGACGTGTTCAATACTTATTTTACCCGCTGTACATTGTCATCATAGTCACAGCCTGGGTAATGGGTATATCACAAAAAACTGGTAAACTACAATGAACCGTTGCATTTCTGCATTTTGTCAGTCAGAGACACCAAATCATCAAATCAGAAGCACTTGAGTGGAGAAAATGTTGCAATGAGAGAATTCTCAGTAGGATTAGGTTTGTAAACTTTAATTTAAAATTTATTTTTAAATGTTTTTATTATTTATTTAAAAAACCAGACAGTAAGAAGCGTTTCTCAGTTAGAGAATCAGACACTGTTTAATGGAGACGATGTTTAAAAGTCATTAAACTGTTTTGCTGTTGTTTCACTAATACAGCAGCTGTGTCTGGTTGTACTTTAACAAAAACTGTCATGTAGGAATGGAAATGATTTATTACTTGTTTTCCTCTGAACTCAGAGCAGAAAGACATCAACACTGCTCATTTATCGCAGTCATATCACACATCGCATGTGTTCCTAATAAGGTGCAGCCATGTTTAAAACTGCTAAAAGTACAAAAGTAAAAGTAATGTAAAGAGAAAAAATGCCATCACAGGGACTTACAGTTCTCAACCTCCCCTAAAAACGTTTTTCTGATGGGTCAAATGTTGTGTCAAAAGTTATGGTTGGACAGTTTAGTATGAACTAGATCAGAATCAGATTTATTGCCATTGTCAATGAACAGGATTCAGACTAGGAATTTGCTTCGGTGTAAAGATGCAGTAGGTACCAAATATAACAAAAGAAGAAAATACAAAGAATAAAGGAAAAATACAATAAAATACAGAATTCAATACAGTATTCGGAGCAGACAATATATTTGGGGTAGTGCAATTATATCCAATGATAAAAGTGACCAGAAAACAATATAGTCAGAGTTGTGCTGTTTAAGAAACCAGTGATAAAGTGGCCCAGGTAGTAGTGCTGGGCGGTATACCGTTTTGTACCGAATACCGGTTTTTTATTTTTGTTATGATATGAATTTTTTGAATACCGGACATTCCGGTTTAAATAGCGGAACATTTCGTCGCGGCCGCCAGTGAACTGTTGTTTCCCAGGGGACATTTTTCCTTGCTGCACCGCTATGTGCGTTAGCAGCAGCAGGTGGCGATTCCGTTGCTCATATTGACTGACGTTTAAAAAAACATCCTGTTTTCACTGTCGCTGAATGTAGTAAACACCTCTTCAGTGACGTGCACAGTTAGATTTAACGCGGTTAGTTAAGATGGAGACGTTATGCTGATGGAGACTTAACGTGGTTTTATTGTGAAAAGCCTGCAGGAAGTAGTTCGTAGTGGAGTTGGAATTGATTGGTGTGCAAGGTGAGTCGTGCTGATAAGCTTTAATAAATAACATAAAACAATAAACCCGATCATAACCTTTTCTTAAACCTCCTCCTTCACGACTGGACCAAAATGCGTGACTACTGTCTCCAACCACCAGTCAGAGAAGAACAGACACAGAGGAGGGAAACAGCAACACAGACAGAGGTACAGTAAAAGAAAAAAAAGTCAATAAGCAGGTTTTGTGCATTTTATTATCAGCTGAGCTGTGCTGAAAAGAAAAATACCGTCAAATGCAGTGAAACTGGTGAAAATGTTGAAAATACCGTGATATAAAATTTTGATCATATCGCCCAGCTCTACCAGGCAGAGTTTTAGAGTCACGTGTTCTGATGTCATTTAAGATATCCTGAAACGGAGCCTCCATACAACTTAATGATGAATGTGATGTGATTTATTTGAGTCAAAATGTAATGAGAAATATCTTAAATAACGAATATATATATAGTCATAACACAATTTCAGATATCTCAAAAGTAAGTGTGGTGAAGACGATTAAATGTAAAAACAGCCTGCCATACACGTGAGCGTCTGCAGGCTGCTGAAAATAATCTGCTGCAGTTAAATAAGAAATATGGACTTACGAGCAAGACAGCATCTTCTTTACATTTCTGCTGTTAATAAGAAATAAATTAAAACAAGTTTGTTCTTCGACGACTTGAGTGTGATTAAAAAAACGTACGGTTGTTAATTCTTCGCTATAAGTGACGTACAGCAGGAGGGAGGGAAAAATTATGAGTCTACATGATTTAAAATGTCATATTTCTTCATTTCTTTTCTGAAATTTTCAATTAAATGTCCACATAAAAAATAAAAGTAATAGTTTACTTGCCCCGGGCAGCGGTTTTTATTGAACCCTGCTACAGAGGTTAAAATACCCGACGAAGAAAAACAAAATGATTCACCTCACTTTGATTTATCGTGTGATTTATTGATTTATTGCTATAAAAGAGCCTGACATGTTTTAATGTTTCATCTGTGGTTACATACAGGAGACTTTAATTTACTAAGTAAAGTGATTATAAAATGCAACAAACACTCAGTTTTTTCGGAAGGAGACAATCTTTACAGAATAATAATCCTTACAGAATAATAATCCACCAGAACATCTTCACGTTTGTTTGGTTTGATGAAGTATTTATGTTTCACACCCAGGAGCCTCTAACAGACATGTTTGGTTGAAAACGATTCGTCTGGGATCGGCTCCTCTCTGGATTTGTTGAAACTTGTGGATTATCTGCGTCTGAGGCAGCAGGAAGCGGCGTGATGAGGGTTTCAGGACCGGGCCAGCATACCTCCAGATGAAAGCATAGTTCAGGACAAAAGAACAGCTGATCATCCAGCTCCGCCTCCTACTCTGCTCYGACCGCAGCAGAACCTGCGATCTGCCGACATCATCGCAAGTATCTGATCCGTTTGCTTCGACGTGCAGCGACAGAAACGTCGAAGTGTTTCGTCCGAGTCGACTGTGAAAACACTAAAACGTCATGACCTGTCTGTTTCTGCTCATCATCATCATCATCGGTACTCACGGCTGGCTGCAGTGAGTGGATCCAGATCCTGACTGAATGGAAAAGGTTCTGGGAGCAGGAAGAAGAAGAAGAGGTGCGGCAGTGCAGGTGTGCTCGCTCCACTGACGGTTCACCGGCTGTGTGCCTTGTTAAACACGACTTGGTCAGTCCGGATCAAACCTCCTCGGACCGGATCTCTGGAGCTAAACCCAGACGGTGTTTACTCACAGCTGCCGGAGGCAACTGCATTAAAAACTGGTCTGGTTCTGATCTGGACATCCCTGCGTGGCCTCAGGAACCCCTCCACACATCATTGTAAACACAGCTCACACACAGACGCTGCTTAAAGGGCCTGTGACATCAAATTTTTGTGATAATTACGAACGCATTTTTGGAAAGATAACAATGATAACATATTGCAAAAAATATTTTATACTGCTGAGATGAACAGTTGTTGAGATATTTGCATGTAAATTAACAGGAAGTGATGTCAAAGGGGAATGTCTGCATGTAAACAGAGAATCGCTTCAATGGCCGACAACAAAGACTGTAGAGAATAATCTGGTGTTTCTTTAGATCATTTTGAGTCACTATCAGAGAGATGTGAAGTCAGAGTTCAAAGTATTTTTTTAACAAACAAAGACCAGAGAGTTTCCCATCTTAATGAGTTCCCCTTTGATGTCACTTCCTGTTTCATTTTGGCTGAGCCAAACTCAAAAGAAAATATGCCAGTTATGTGACAAAATGAGTAAAATCATGTGTTTTATGCCAAGTTTCTTAAATATAACGATATTTTCTTTGACTTTTTGTATTTGAAGGATATGCACGTCACAGGCACTTTAAAGCTCTATCAGGCAAATAAGAAGCCATATGTGAACCAGGGATGGTTTAAAATGGACTGAGACAACAGACGCCACGTCTACACATCCAGACTGTTATCAGCACACAGTTCAATTGCTTGCCTCTCTGATGATATAGGGGTGCATTAGTGCCTCTTGCATGAGCGATTTACACATTTGGAAAGAATCAATGCAGAAACGTACAGGATTTAGAACAACGTCTAATTAGGCCTGTCACAAAAACCAATAAATCAATTAATCACACGATAAATTAAAATTAGGTCGATAATTTAATTTTCCTAATTTTTTCTTCGTGTCGCCCGATTTTCTAATTCTGTAAGTCTCATTAGCGGGGAGATGTGTGTGTCATTGTATTWGTTTAAAATGGTCTCCAAACAAACTTATCCTTTATCGCAATCATTTCTGAGAAAATTTATCGTCCGCAAAATGTGTTATTGTGACTTTTTTCAATGTTTGATTTGTTCTGTTTTTCATGAGATTTGAAAAAAAAACATTTCATGCAGTTTTTATTTACTTTTTACCCAACATCCTGACTTTGTGAGTTTTGCCGCATTCAAAAGGTTTTGCGAAAGTATATGTCCTGAAATGTTCTCAGAGGTTTCCACTTTCTATTTTTGTGCCGCTGGAAATTCGAACATGTTCAAATATTTGCAAAACAAATTATCTCCATAAAAAAATAAAATTGCCACAAATTTGATGCAGGTGATTTCATCTTGTCCCTAATTAAGTTTTTACAAGTGCGAGAAATGTTAAACAAATTTAGGAGGGTTTGATGACCCATGAAACCAAATTGGGACTGGCTGGAGGCAAAAAAAAAAAAAGAGGATGGAATGTAATGAAAGAAGTGGTGTCAGTAATACAGGGCTTCCATTACAATAAATCATTTTAAGGGTCTTAATTTTTGAAATTTACAAAATATTGATTTATCTTCTGATGAGCAAGCAGCTACACATCTGTCCCTCACTGTTGCTCATCTGACAGGAAGTGTTCTGAAGTGAYTGTCGTCCTCAACAACAAAAAAAATCTACATTTTAAAGTCAAACCATCTGACATGAAACTACGGAGCCCACGAGGGGACATGGGGAGGGG